TTTCCTCCCTCATCCGACGCATGGTGAAGATTTCTGACAAAGACATATGGAGGAGAGAAATGCACAACAGCAGGTAGTCCAGTCTCCAGTCTGAGATGTTTTCACTTGATTGTTTCGGACAACACGCACCTTCAGATGAGCAATGTATGCAGCCTTCGCAGGCAGGTGGGCGCACTGATTCAGCTCAAACACAAACTCAGCAGAAGGCGATGAGTCTCTGCTTGCAAGGCAAATGGCCCAGGAGCTTTCTGCTTCAAAGAATCATGTACTAAAGTTTACAATTTCTGATATTGTAAACTTCCTTGTAATTTCCATTGCAAATTCCTTGGATTCCAAGTTTTATTTCTGCATCTTAATTTCACCTCAGTTACTGTCTCCTCAACTCAGCTCAGCAGACCTTTGAGAAATGGCATCTTTCACCTTCACTCCATTTGGACTTGTGGAGAGACGCTGTCTGGGCTTTGGCAGATGGACTGATAGCCAGCTCTGTGGAATGGCAGCTGTTAAAGAGCTTTTTAAATTGCACCCAGGTTGATGGGTGCCTGTCAGCAGGGCAATGGACAGAATTCGGGAAAGGAGAGGGAGGAAAAAACAGAAATCGGGGAGGTAAGGGTGAAGCAGAGAGCGGAGCTGGAGGACAGTGACCCTGACACCAAGGGATATGGAAGAAAAATGTTTGTGGAAAAAGTGAAAGTCCAAAGGCAGAAAAATCATAAGGAGGTTATTGGACTCAATGTGGCAAATTAAAGAGGTGACAATAGCAAACGAAGTACTGAGTCCTGCTATCGCTGTAGTTATTTAGTTGGGGCTCACATCTGCGCTACGTTTGCCAGCTTCAATGTTCCTGAAACTACAGATGCATTCAAAATAAGTCGCTTGTCCAATCTATCATTAAAACCACAGTAAAATGATAGTAATCCCCTTTAAAAGCATTGGTTGTAGAAATTCTGTACCCCCAATGTCACAAAAGATATCTGCCTATATACTGATCTTTTTTTTTTTCTTTATCACATTCAAATGCTTTAGACAAATTTCAACAGCCGACAGACAAACCCTGAGTAAAAACATGAAGCATATTACAGATATTTAATAAATTGGTATACAAACCAACTTGTCCTATGTCAAAATACAATAGCCCCTAACTTTCAGATCATGAGTAAACTGTTGATAGTCAAATCTGTTTTGTTCACATTCACTTGCCACATTCATGTCTGATTTAATAAATAAAAAATACCACCTAAGTGGAACTTTCTGGATGGTTGCGTCCTGATGTGGAGGAAAAGTACTTCAATAAGTCTCTTTCTTTATTTTTACGTGTTCTCTGTTTAGTATTTTATGCAGATGGTTGTCTTCATGTGCCAGGGTAGATTTGCTCTATAAAATTGGATATCTGAAGATGGTTTCCCGTTTGCATGATAGACTATTAAATCAAGACTGCACCCAGCATCAAAGTAGGCAAACCACAACAGTGTAATGGTAACTTGTTTAAATGATCTTCGACCGCTTGGATTATGCGAGTGTCCACCATGCGTCTCCCACGTCTTCAACATTTCAGAGAAAGGTCCTCAAACATCGTTGTTAGTGTGACGGTCTGGAGCTGCTTTAGGACATGAACGATGTGGTGTAGTTAACGCAACCAGGAATATTACGACCGGAATAATTTTTGGCTATCGGTTGGTGACCATGCCATGTAGCAGGACTAATTGCTAAGTGCTACGAGGTTAGCACAACTTATTAGTATTTGGAGGGGAAATTATGTAACTTTGTCACAATCTTTTATAAAATAACGACCCTAAGAAAAAGTTAACCATTTCACACCAACTAACCAGGCTTAAAATTGAAGTTTGAATGTAAATAATGCTGAAGCTAGGCTCTGTACGTTGAAATGCAGTTAGCTTAGCTTTGGCATGTTTATTGTTTGACTTGATAGCAATGAAATGAAATTTCCTAATGAGCTTTCATTTTTGTTCATAACTTGAAAGCCGCTTAACATCTGAGAAGTTTGGATAGTACCGCAGCTTAGGCGTTTTCCACCAGCATTTAAGCTTTAGTCTTAGCAGGTCTGGTGCTAGCATGCTCTTTAGGCTCACGCTGCAGCACATTTTTGTCTACTTTTAGCAATAGTGTACAGTTTCTGTTTACTATTTATACCATTGTGTCAAAAATGGCCAAGGCATCATATTGTATTGCTTTTTTTTTTTTTTTTTTTTACTCAAATTGAAATTCTACTGATTTGACAGTTGCAATTTGCAATGTGGAAAACTGCATTCTGCTATTTACATTGCAGGGGAACGCTGTTGTTGCCTTGTAATGCGACTCTTTCAGCCTGACTGCCTAATACCGCCTTGCTGTGCAACAGATGGCGTTCTAAGAAGGTCATCATGTCTGTTTCAACAGTTGCTTCACACCCTGGCAGCATTATTAGGGGCTATTTAGAGCATAATGTACTGTCAAGGTGTTGTCAAACAGCAGCTGAATAAATGTAGCCCTCGTTAGGAATCTTCTTAACTTGCTGAAGATCCCTTTGAGAGTTTACGATCTGTTCACGGTAAAAAGCTAATTACGTGTAAATTATTCAAAAGTTTTTTTTATTTTATTTTACTTGTCAAGTTCTCTATCCTTTGGTGTATTTCTGGAGGTTCTTGGTATTTATTATCTCACACCTCGGGACACCATCAAAATAATAATAATAAAAAAATCCATAATTATTTCTTTTTTTTTTTCCCAGAGACCTTATTATTCATGTAACACTTTGATTTCTCACATGCTTGAAAGGTCTAAGCTGAAAATGCTTTTCCCCAAATCTACAAACACTCACATAGTATGCCTCAGAAAACAAATAGTTTGCCCTCTTTATGTTGAAAAAACAAACAACTAACTCCATAAGGTCTTGAAAGAACTAGTGTGGCTACATTAAGGCCGGTTATTAGCCATAAATCTACAAAAGGTGGCTGGACCTCTCTCTTATTGCACACTGATTGCTGCAGTATAACTATTAATCATTCTCTGCATTCCCCACGGGTCAAAAAACCCTCTTTAGCAGAGGGATGGATCAGATACTGCGGGACTGGCAATTATCTGAATCCAAATTCTCTGTGGTGTTGTGCTCTCTCATTTGCTTCTTTCCAAATTATGTTTGCATTGGATTCCACTAATGGAAGATGTGACTAATGCTGGGCGTCATCCAAAACTGCTATTATTATTGTTATTATTATTATTATTATTATTATTTTGTGTCTAGATAAGTTGTGATAAAAGTGACTTTTTGCTCAGTGTGTAGCAGTCAAACCAAAACCGACTTATGATTGTGACAAGTGTTTCTCGGTTTTTTCTATTTTTGAATGCGTAACATCTTGCACAAGTAATTTTTCCTCCATTACTCATGTTTCCCATTTTGTTATAACTGCAAACTTAAAAGTATTTTTTATAAGGAGTTGTGTAATAGATAAAGTTGAATTGTGAAGTGGAAGGAAAAATCAGATCAGACCAAAATTTGAATTTTATGGCCATCATGCAAAACTAGTTTTGGAAAACAAACGCTGTACGTCAAGCCTGAACACACTTCCTGAACGATTTTGGCAGAAGTATCTTTATTATTGCTTTTCCTTGTAAGTGGTCGGAATAAATTTTACCAATGCTTCCCAAAAGTTATGGGAAACATTCCCATCCGTTTTGGGAATGTTTCTCTTTGGTGTGGACAGTAAAGTTGTCAGAGTTGATGGGTCAAAAGTACAAAGCAAGAAGGTGGATCAAAAAAAGAAAAATAATAATTGCAATTCAGGAAGAAAACAAAAACAGGACATGGTTGCATCATCATAACGCCATGGAAATACTATTCTTTCACGAGTTACGTGGCGATTGGCCTTCACCTTCCAGCAGGATATCAAACAATAAGTTTCACAAAGTATTCACTTTGCAAATGAAGAGAAATGCAAACCACAGTCATCGCATTTTTCTTTTTTTTCTTTCTTTTTTTTTTTTTTTACAAAATCCCCCCAAAATACAAAGATTTTTTTTAATCAATTTTCTTCCCCTTCACAATTATGCACTATTCTTTGTTGGTATATATTGTTTGTTTCCCAGTTGAATCACAGTGAAATTTGTGGCATAATGTGACAACATGTGAAAAAGGTCAAAGGGTTGGGAATACTTTCGCGATGTAAAATATACTTTATGTCCGTTCAAACTGATCATCAAGCCGAGGCATTGCACAGCTGTGTAGCTATCAAACCAAAGCTGTTTAGTCTCAGTAACTCTGATATAGCGTGCATATAAACCAGGAATAAATCCCCTCTTCAGCATTATGACATCAACCGTTCAACCACTCAGCCTCCATGCTCTGCAGTCATATTTCTCTGCCAGAATCGATTCTATCAATAACAACCACTGGGAAGCTCAAATTTTATGTTGCGGTCTGGAAAAAAAATAATAAAATAGGGCAAAGTTGCATAGCATTGACATATTCTGCTTATGATTGTCACTTTTGTTTGATTTCCCCCTTTTCCCTTTTTTTCCTTACTTGGTTCTGAATCTGTTGGTACTCGGACACCTCATGCGTGTAATCGCAATGATATTCTTCCAGTTGATCTTTAATTGTTTCAGGCAACCTTTCGGCGTGAACTTAACCAAGGAGCTGCCCTTCCTATTTCCAACTTTCTAATTTCTCCTTAATGAAATCTGTTGGAAATGTCCAAGCGGTGGCTGGACGTCTGTGGCCAAGACTGAATTTTTGAGACAGACTGTGAAAATTACAAAGCTTTAAGTGTCAGACGCACAAGCCTGCCAAATGTAATCAGTGGGTAATAAGTGTTTGCCCTTTAGCACGGTAAGAGTCTGGAAAAGTAGTGCATCAGTGCAAGGCCACAAATCATCGTGTCGGTCCGGGTTTTAGATTCAATCCATTATGAACCTTTTCCAAAAAGAGGCGTTAGTGTTTAGTTTGTGCTTTTTAATCTGCATAGACCTTCATTTAATGCTTTGTGTTTTTTCTCGTCTTTCAGCTCACGATCTGCCGGGAAGTTTGCTTGAGTGGTGAAAGGTAGGTTTTCTGATGGAAGATTTTCTGCTTGTTCACCAAATGAAGTCTCCATTTCTTTATCGGTCTGATTATTGTCTTAATACTGGCGGCAGCAAAATGGAAACTCTGAAGAAGTAAGACTGTTAGGGGCCTTGAATTCTGGTCTCCCTGCTGCTTAATTACTGTGGTCTCTGAGCCCAGGAGGCACTGCTGTAGAAAGGCTTTCTTTGCAGAGTCTGGCAGAGACAAACAGCGTCACCTGCGCTGCTCCTCTTGCTGTAGTGGATTTTGAACCCATTGGACTGCCAGCACTGGCAGTGTGCACGAGAGCAACGACGCAGTATTGATATTTGTGTGTTTGTTAAGTGATTGCTGACAGTAATATCTCTAAGTACACAGTGGGGGAGTCTTCCGAATAATGCATCCCTAACTCGAAATAGATTTTGTCAGACATCTGATCTTACGTCAAGATGACTCTGTTTCTAATAAACCACAGTTGTGATGTATTTAATACTGGGGTACTTTAATAAACGTAACATTGCAGGGTTTTTTTTTTTTTTTTTTTTAATAACAATATTGGAAGTTTTTTAAATTTCTACCTAATCTCATTTGCCTGGGATTGAAATTTGACAGAACCTCCTCTTAAGTTCAGAAATAGCCACAGCGTCTCATATATCCTGTGACTGTATAAGCGGTGAGACAGTAGATGTATACTGCAAATGCAAACTTGGATACATTTTTATCTGGTGGAAAATTTATATCCAGGTTTGAATTAATTTTTTTTTTTAATTGATTAAAAAAAATTTACTTGGATTAATCACTCTCTAGCATTGTGATTAACCACGATTAACCGCTGCGCCTAACTTTGTAGACTTGAAATGACGTCCCCCTCCTTCTGCCACATTTCAACTAATTAATGCAATCACATTTTAGATTTTTTTTTCTTTTTGTAGCAAAAAGCAGGTCATTTTTTCTACATGAATAATTAAGGATTTCAATAATCATGGCACCAGAGATTTGATTTAAAAAAAAAAAAAGAGACGCTTTTTTTTCTTTGATGTCAAAGTTTGGCCCTGTTGAATAAAACAATTTAAAGGTTAAATTTTCAGTAACAAATTTTTGTTACTGAATCAATTATGCAATACTTAATTACGCAATACAAATGCCGGCAAAGCCTTTGATTTAGGAATAAATGGCATGGATAAAAAAACAAAAAACACTTGAGGTTGTACTTGATGTAAAAGGCGTGCTGTCATTGGTTTTACACGTACTTGAATTAAACTGTTCCGTCAACTCCTGCGAAAAATGCTTCAATTAAAATAAAGGTTTTAATTAAAGCATTTGGAATAACATTCGAGATTGCTCCTGCCACTTCAGATGTTTACAGTTTAAAGTTAATTAGCTTGCTGAGTCCAGGAAGCTGCACCACATCACAAAGTCAACTACCGACTATAAACTCCACACCAGCCGGGTTTCTTAGATCGCCGCGTTATTTTTTCTTTATTTTATTTTTCCACTCGCCGCCTTTGAGGTTGCTATCTTTACAATCCAGCTCCGAGTTTCAAATGGATGTGACTCACCGACTTCACCACGTCCAGCTGTGAGATGTTCCACCAGCCCACACCCTCATTTTCAGGAATATATTCTCCACCTGGAGCAAACATCAGTTAAAATCTCCTCTGCCATAAAAAAACATTTGCTTTTATCAAAGCGCTTTAGAAGACAATTGCTTTTGAAGAAAAAAAAAAAAAGCGTTCTGATGGAGAAACATCAGAAGTTTATGTGCAGGAGAGTTAGAGGATTACTTCAGGCAACAACATGACAAGTTAAATGTGTTTTTTTTTTTTTTTTTCCTTTTCTTTTTGGCTGATTACCATAGCTGCTACGTTAAACTAGTGGATGTAATTGTTTCCTCTTCATCCCAGAAAATGACTTTAGGATGCAAAGTGTTGTTACCGTACAGTGAAAGCATCTTGCCAGAACACACACTTTTGACCTTTTTTGTAAGCTTACTAAAATAAAAAATAAAAAATTAGCTTAAGAAAATACATAAATAAAACCTAGTTCAAAAGTCTTACAATCATGAGCTTCCTTATTCTTAGCATTTCTTCATCTATAGGGTTGTTACAGATGCAACTGCTTTTTTTTTCTGCCGTCTCCTTGTTTGAGCTGATCATGGTTTGGGAACAGTTTATAGCCTTGGGGCATAATTATGCTAAACCTTGGACATGCCATGCACTGTTAGTCAGCATCACTTTCACTCTGTTCTCCTCTTCCTGCTTTGAGTGTTTAGGAAGTCTCTGAGTCTGAGGGAGTACATCTCTATGCAGATACTTTACTGCGTAGATTCAGACTTTGTGCTTGAACCGCAGGCAATCACATATTTTAGGGACGGCAACCGCAACAAAACACCGAACACTTGACACTCTGAATACTTGAGACCCCATCCACCTCAAACCACCCCAAAAAGTGCTTATAACTGCATATTTTAGGAGTTGAAACGCCAAATATACCTTAAGAGCTGTTGATATGCTCTGTGGAAACTGTCTTAGCACAACCACAACAGCTGAGATATAATTATGTTGTCATCAGAAATATTTTTATCTTGTTTGTAATTTTAATTTGATACGTACACGTGTTGCACTGCACTGACACAAGCTTCAAACAGCTGGAAAAAACAAGAATGAGTAACTGTGATTACTTTACAGTAACTAGTGTCTACTAGTGTTACTAGTGTCTCACACCGCGACACTAGTAACCAGTCCATGACTGTATGCTAAAGTAAAACATATTTAAGCTATTTGAGGGCCGCCCAACCCTGCTTTCTGCTTTAATTATATTCGTTTTACGTCTACGCTACAGTCTCATTCAAAATGGCGGGAAAGCAAACTGTCTGTTTCACGGATTTGAAAGTAAAACGCCTTCAATTTTCAGATGGAAAATAATTGGGCTTCTTTTTTGTTTTTTGTTTTTGTTTTTTTAAAGAGGAACTTTTGCAATAAATTGCATTAAGCAACTTTTTCTGTATTGTTGTTGATCAGCTTGTGTCTTTGCAAGGCAGGTTTGCAGAGGGTTTTCTCCACCTATAGGCAGAACATGTGAGGGCAGATGAAAGCAGCTTTGAGGATGGTGCCCACGACTGGGAGGAACAGCTCTTCCTCCACCACCTTTCTCTGTCTGATCTCCATTTCCCCACCCTTCTTCATCCCCGTCCTTTTTTCTAACCTCTCCTATTCCTCTGCCACTCTGCCTCGCTATCTCCTCTTGCCTGCCTCTCCCCTCTCTCTGTTGTTTGCCTATCCAATTTTCCCTGCACATCCAGCCCACTCCTTCTCCTCGGCCACTGCCGTATCCATGCTGGTTCTCATCTCAAACCGCTCTGCTCCCTGTACTTACACACACGTATATATGTACATATATTTATATAGTATATATTTATTTTCTTTTTTTTTT